GGGGGGTGATTTCTCGCTTTTTGTCTCTCTGACTTTCTCTGTCTTCCTGGTGAGTGCACGCACCCTATAGCAAAAACCTCTCAAAAAAAAAATTACTTTAATTTTATTCATTGTCATTGTTTTGTTATTATGATTATTTTTTATTTGACCAGAGAGAGACAATGAGAGAGAAGGAAAGTGAGAAAGCAAGCTGCCAGACTGGGACTCAAACTGGTCAGCCATGTGGGAATCCAGGTACCTTAACCACTGCACCACCTGCTGGCCCCTCACCACACACACTTTTAATTGTGGATTATATCATGCGCCCTATAAGAATTTCCACATTCTAGATTAAACTGATTGTATCTTCATGGCGTCATTTAATATTTTTCTCTGTCCTCTATGTACTATAAACTGGTAGTTAGATTCAGGGGTATGGTCATATTAGAGTTCAATTTTTTTCTTTTTTTGCAAGAATTTTTCTCTTTTCTTGATCAGTTGATTGCTAAAGGGCATGTATACTCACCAGACAGAAAAAGAGAGGGAGAAAAGTACTCCCCAGGGGAGGTGGCCACACTACAATCTTTTCTCCATTTCCTTGGGATTTGAGGCATGTACACACATACCCAACATGTGTTCTAGGTTACAGGGTCCTGAACTTGAACCACATGGCTGGCTCTGGAAGGATTTTTTTATAAGGGTTATTGTGTACTTTATTTTGTATCACATCAACAGATATGTAACCTCTAGTTGTCTTTTGAGCAATGTATCTGTTGATCACTGGGTTCAGATTAAAAAAAAAATTTTCAGCGTCATGATCAGACTATTATACTTAGCAATCAACAGCATGGGCGCAAAAAAAAAAAAAAAATCTACATTAAAACCCTTTGTTGGAATGCTTTACACTTTCCACAGAACAGAAACTAAAATAACCTGTTATACAATTAGTCACAAATATAGTCCTCTTATTTTTTTGCCCATATACATGAGTATTGTCTAAAACATTTCTTCTTTGTAGTAGCTAGACCCTGCCACCACTGTGCTTGGTTGAGTTCACAAATCTGTTGAAACCTGTGGCTTCCCTGTCACTTCTCTGGCTCTCCTCCCCTGCTGAGCTTTGTTTCCTGGCAGTTAACTAAAACCTTCTGCCACTGCCATAGCTCCTGCTGCTGCTGGAACTGCCGTGGCCACCTTGATTTCGTGGTTTGGCAAAGTATTGGCCTCCATTGCCATAAGGGCCAGAGCTTCTGCCTCCAAAGTTTCCACCCTTCATGAATCAAAAATTTCCCTTTTTTTTTGAGAGGTTTTTGCTATAGGGCATGCCAGAAAGACACAGAGAGACAGAAAGCAAGAAATCACCCCCCAGTGGGGATGGCCACGCTGCATTCCCTTTTCCTCCATTCTCCTCTTGGGATCTTGGGCACGCACGCACACATGCCCAGCATGAGTTTAAGCCACCGAGTCTGGGACTTGAACCGCAGTCGACTACATGAGAGTTCAGCGACATAGCCATTACACTAACTGCTGGTCCTCATGGGTCCAGAATTTGAAGACTGATTGTTATAATAGCCAAAATCCTTGTGGCTTCCACCACCTCCAAAATTGCTTCCATCATTACTAAATCCATTATAGCCATCATCCCCACTTCCACTGTATCCACCACCACCACGGCTGCCACCAAAGCCACCACGACCACTGAAGTTTCCTTCATGACTGAAGTTGTCATTACCACCAAAACCACCTTCTCAGCCACCATCGAAGTTTCCAGAACCACTTCGACCTCTAGGGCTGGAGGAAGCACTAGCCATCTCTTGTTTAGATTTCAGTCACTTCAGTTTTCCCGTACTGTTCAAAATAATCTCTTAGGTGATGTTCTTCAGTGTCGTCTTTAATGCTACCAACAAAGATCTTTTTCACAGTTACGTGGACACCCAGTCTTTGAGAACCTTCTCTTGAGACAGCCCTCTTTGTTTCCACAACTCTCCCATCCACCTTGTGTGACCTTGCATTCATGGCTGCATCCCCTCCTCCACAGTGGCATATGTGACAAACCCAAAGCCTCTGGGGCTCTTGATGTTTGAATCTCCCATTATCACGCAGTCCCTGAACGTTCCCCGTTTCTCAGAATGGCTCCTCAAGCTCTCATTGGTTGTTTCAAAGCTCAACCCTCCAATAAAGAGTTTTTCCAGCTTGGGACCAGCAGTTAGCGTAATGGCTATATTGCTGGACTCCCACGTAATCGACCACAGTTCGAGTCCCGGACCCGGTGGCTTAAAACTCACGTTGGGCACGTGTGCGTGCGTGCCCAAGATCCCGAGAGGAGAATGGAGGAGAAGGGATTGTGGCATGGCCATCCACTCTGGGGGGTGATTTCTCACTTTCTATCTCTCTGTCTCTCCCTGTCTGTCTGGCGAGCGCACGCGCCCTGTAACAAAAACCTCTCAAAAAAAAAGAAAAAAAAGTTTCTCCAGCTGTTTTGGCTCTTTGGGAGACTCCGACTTAGACATAACGGCAGTGGGAAGAGAGAGTTCAATGATGCTTCCCCAGCAGCGTCCATAGGCAGAAAGCACTGGGTTCAGATATTGTCAGTCTAATCATTCATTTAAAAGTTCTCTCACAGCAGATAGCATAATGGTTATGTCACTGGACTCGCACGTAGTTAACCACGGTTCAAGCACTGACCTTTGAGTAAAACTCACGCAAGGCACATGTGTGTGCATGCCCAAAATCCTGAGAGGAGAATAAAGGAGAGGGGATTGCAGCGTGACCATCCCCCCTGGGGGGTGATTTCTCAGTGTCTCTCCTGCGAGTGCACACGCCCTATAGCAAAAATCTCTCTTAAAAAAATGTTCTTTCACCCTTTTTTAAATTGACTATTTCTTATGCACTTTTCCATAATTTTTAAATTTATATGCAATCAACTATTTGTAAATACCTCCTAGTTTTTCAGAGCTGATTATGATTGTCACCAAACCACTAATTTCTAGGTGTATATATATATATATATGTGTGTGTGTGTGTGTGTGTGTGTGTGTGTGTGTACCAACTTCTGTTGAGAGCATCATAGTTTTTTTTTTTAAGAATTATTTTATTTAACTTTATTTACTTATTTATTTTAAATTGACCAGAGAAGGACAGAGCGAGAGAGGAGAGAAGGAAAGTGAGAAAGCAAATTGCCAGGTCCAGGGCTTGAACCATGGTCTACCATGTTGGGAATCCAGCATCTTTATTACCACGCCACCTGCTGGCCCCAAGAGCATCGTAGTTTTTAGTTTTTTAAATTCATTGTTTTACTTAAGGCTTATTCCATCTGGAATATAAATATTTATCTTTCCTTTTTTTTTGAGAGCAAGAGAGAGATTGATTTGCTATAGGGCATATGCGCTTGCCAGAGATAGAGAGGCAGAGAGACACAAAGCCAGAAATCACTCCCCTATGGGTATGGCCATGCTGCAATCCCTTCTCCTCAGGATTTTAGGCACACATGCACAGGCCCAGTGTGAGTTTTCAGCCACCTGGACCGGGACTCAAACCGTAGTCAAAATGTGAGAGTCCAGAGACATAACCATTACGCCATCTGCTGGTCCCCTATCTAGAATATAATTTTGTACATGGTATAAGATGGATTTCCGTTTTTATTTCCTTTATATAGTTGGCCAGTTGTGCTGTACTTAGGACTAAAAAGTCATCTTTTTCTTGTTGAATTAACTATTACTTTGCCCTGCATTAAATACTTACAACCTGGAGTCTGCATTCTAGCTCATTTTCACTAACCTATTTGTCTTTTCCTATGCCAATATTTGTTTTATTAGAGTTGCATTATGGTATGTCTGATACCTGGTAATGTTGATTTTTTTTCCTCAGTGATTTTTTTTCCCATCTTTTTCTTAATGAATTTAGCAGCCATTGATGATAATTGCCTGGATTTATGATTTGAATAGAGGGTTTGTTTTTTTTTTTAAGAGTTACTTTACTTAACTTTATTTATTTATTTATTTATTTTATTTTGACCAGAAAGGGGACAGAATGAGAGGGAGAGAGGGAAAGTGAGAAAGCAAGCCACCAAGTCTAGGACTTGAATCGTGGTCAGCCCTGTGAGAGTCCAATGCCCTTAACCACCTTGCCACCTGCCGGCCTCTCGATAGAGATTTTTATTTTTGCTTTTTTTTTTTTTTTTGAGAAGTTTTTGCTATAGGGTGCTCATCACTATTTTTGCTATAGTGCGCTCATCAGAAAGAGAGCGGCAGAAAGATAGAAAGTGAGAAATCACCCATCCTGGGGGGATGGCCATGCCACAATCCCTTCTCCTCTCGGGATCTTGGGCACGCATGCACACATGTCCAGTGTGAGTTTAAGTCACCAGGTCTGGGACTCAAATTGCAATCGTCTACATGGGAGTTTAGCGACATGGCCATTATGCCAACTCATGTATGAGTCCTACAATCTATCATTATATCTCTCAGATCTTTTTCTTTTTCCTTTTTTTTTTATTTTTTTTTATTATAGAGTGTGTCCCACCACCAGAGAGAGAGAGAGAGAAAAATCACCTAAAAGGGAGAAGGGCCACACCACAATCCATTCTCCTCTTGGGATTGTGAACACGGATGCATACACACCCATTGTGATTTTTTTAAGTCACTGAGTCCAGGACTTAAAAAAGGCCGCTGGCCAGCTGCCTTAAGCTTTGTGCTACCTGTTAGCCCTCACTCTTGATTTTTAAGTGCACATCCATAAAATAGCCGCTTCAGAGCTAAGTAATTATTACTTCCTTTGTTTATAGATTTAAAAATATAAAGGGGAAGCCAGCAGGTGGCATGGTGGTTAAGGTGCTAGACTCCCACATGGTTGACTGTGGTTTATGTCCTGGACTAGGCATTTGCTTTCTCTTTCTTTCTCTCTGTTGAGTGCATGTGCCCTGAAGCAAATTAAATAATAATAATAATAAATAAAATTAAATAAATCTTTAAAGAAAAAAAATTTTTTTTTTTTCATTTTTGCTTCCCTCCTCTAACCCTAAACAGATTGAAGAAGAGATGCTGGCCTTGCAGAATGAACGCACAGAACGAATACGAAGCCTGCTGGAGCGTCAAGCCAGAGAAATTGAAGCTTTTGACTCTGAAAGCATGAGACTAGGTTTTAGTAACATGGTCCTGTCTAATCTCTCCCCTGAGGCATTCAGCCACAGCTACCCAGGAGCTTCTGGTTGGTCTCATAATCCTACTGGAGGTCCAGGACCTCACTGGGGTCATCCCATGGGTGGCCCACCACAAGCTTGGGGCCATCCAATGCAAGGTGGACCCCAACCATGGGGTCACCCCTCAGGGCCAATGCAAGGGGTACCTCGAGGTAGCAGTATGGGAGTCCGCAATAGCCCCCAGGCTCTGAGGCGGACAGCTTCTGGGGGACGGACGGAGCAGGGCATGAGCAGAAGCACGAGTGTCACTTCACAAATATCCAATGGGTCACACATGTCTTATACATAACTTAATCATTGAGAGTGGCAATTCCGCTGAAGCTGTCTGCCAAAAGAAACTGCCTACAGACATCGTCACAGCAGCCTCCTCACTTGGGTACTACAGTGTGGAAGCTGAGTGCACATGGTATATTTTATTCATTTTTGTAAAGTGTTCTGTTTTGTGTTTACTAATTGGGATGTCATAGTATTTGGCTGCCGGGTTTTTGTTTTTGTTTTGTTTTTAACTTTTGGGGAAATTTGAAAAGGGGAGTTGATATTAAAATATATATATATCTCATGCATGTGGTAAAAAGAAATTGTCTAGATAGGGGGTATTTTCTGAACACTGCAAAAATAAAATGCAGCAAAGTGGCTTGAGTCATCACTTTTGGGTGTCTGTATCCTAAGAAGTTTGTGAAAAATTCTGAAGCTTTCTTCCCATATCCCAGATTCCTGTGAGCCACTCACAGCAGGCAGCATATGCTAATACAAGACATTACTGAAACACACCTGGTTCCCCTCACCAGTGTATTTTTTAAGTTTAATTGGTTTGACTTCTCAGCCTCATTTGGAGTAAAAAGAAAACAGAAATTCATGAACACTAAAGGATTGCATTGACTTTTTAAGAGAGTAGAAAACAACTTAGTTTTTTTCTGAGTGTTTCATAGGTTTGTCAGTGATTTTTGTCCATTCAGTTGTGCCTTCTTTGTGTCATGGTGAGGTGGGGGTGCTTAAGGAAATCACAAGTTGTGTAGGGATTATATTAACAAACCTGTGAACCTTCAAAGAGGAAGAGAGAGAGTGAGAAGGGCCCCTGAATGTTTACATGATGGGCATGTCCAGCAGCAGAGTGAGGAGATGAGGCCTGTATCTCTTGACATTTTGTTGCTTTGTACCATGATATCTCATCCTAGCTAAACTCTTAACTCCCAAGACCCCAAGTAGTATTTTTACTTTGTACAATAATGTAGACATATAGCCAACACAAATCAAATGCCAGAGATATTTGAATGATGCCATATTTGCAAACTGCCATCTATTTGAATTCTCATCACACTACATCGACATAATTTGATTGTCCCCTTTTGGCTTATGGGATTTCCTGTTGACAAGTAGAATAGCCAATTATTTAAATGTTTAGTTGCCATAGTGAAGCAGGAGTCGCTGAGCCAATGACTTCACCAGCTGCTGACTAATCCTCATCACCACTGTAGATTTTGCTGCATTTGCAGGTCCTCTTTTTTTTTGTAAGTTGCTGTTTTTGTTGCTGCAGTACTTTACAAACTTCTAGTTCATTGAGACTTAGTGACCATTTGGCATCATGTTAACATCACACAATAGGAAACACCACTTCCAGAAGTCTCAAGCCTCAGTGCTAAAAGTACTACTGAAAAGGAACTAGGAAGTTTGGCAAATTTTAAAAAATTAAAAAAGGAAAAAAAAGTGAAAATAAGTTATAGTGATCAGGGAATCTCTTGACAAAAGCTAACTTTTTTTTGCTGAGGGGAACATGTTTTGTTTTGTTCTGAGATGAAGGATCAACCCAGTGTTGAAAGTCAGATGAGTCAGATGTTACTTGGTATTTCACTGCTTATGTGGAAATTGAGCTGGAGGGGGGTGGAGAGCTGTGAATATGACTTGTAGAAAAGAAAGTCTTCTTCAGTGACAGATCAGTTTCTTACAAGTTATTTGTCGTGCCCCTCCCAGTTGCCTTTAAGAATCCTTGCTGCTAACTCTGCATCCTGCTTTTGATGTAGTCAGAGGGCTCCACGGTAGAACTCTATAATCCCTCTTAATGATACTCTTCACCTAGACCAAACTAATAATCAGTAATATCTATCATTCTTGAAGTCTTGGGTTTTTTCCAACCAAATTTTGAATCATCTTCAAGTATATCAGTCCAGTCTCCATGAACCCCCTCCTTTAAGAGTTTCCAGCATTCATTTGAAGGTAACTGGGAGAAAAAAATTCATATTTTAATACAATCTTTTTAAAAACCAAGATCACAGTAAGTTCATATAGCACACTGGTAGATTTTGCCTTGGGCCATGCTCTGGATCACCCATTTTTGGGTAAATAAGACATGTACTTGCCATGGCTAATGAAGAGGTCTTTTAGTCTGATCTCTATGTATTCACATTCAGATAGCACACGGTGTTTTAAACAAGTGAGCAATCTACCTGTTTCAGTGAAAAATATATATGAAAGAGTTTTAGAATTTAATAAAATGTCCAAAAATATAATAGGATTCGATACCTTTTGAAAACTTCTGGCCATTCCATACTACTAGAGAGGTGGAATAAGGAATCAGATCAGTTTTGCCTACAAAACTCTTTTAAACCCAAATACTATTGGTGATAACATTTTAAAGCCCAGTTACGGATTTAAATGCATCAGATTGAGTTACTTTGTCCATTCAGATCATATGTACTTATAAAAGCATGATTGAACATGAACTTCAAATGTTTGTCCAGTAGGGCTCTGTATCTAATTTAATCGTGCGCCAACCAGTTTTACACATAGGTCATAACTATACCTGGATTATATCATTAAGTTAATTTTAATTAAAATATATGTAATTTGCAAAAATGATTCAAGTTAATTGGTTTGTGTGTGTTTGTGAGACCTAACTCCTAAGGCATCGCATACATGGTGGAAATCATCACAGAGTAAAACTTGTAGCTGGAAAATTTGGCAAGTTTCGAAGTATCCTAAAGAAAGAGCAAGCACTTTCTGAATCAGTGCACAGGTGACAGCATTTAACCAGATCAACACTACCTCCTCCCCAGTGTTGGTGTTCACTCATATATATGTGCTTAGGAAAATTTAAAGTATGGGAAATTTGTCTAGCATATCAGAAGTCATAAATGCTACTATACCTGGTATCCAGAGTGTAGCAGTAAAAAGTTTCTTATATTCTCGTTCTCTCCCCTTTTTTGGTTAGCTTTTTAAAAATGCAAAACCTCCTATCTTGAAATATATTATTTCTGATTAGATCCCCTTTCCTGTACACATATTTTTCTCCCCTTATTAAAGTCAACTCTAACCTCAAGTTACAGTATCCTAAAGTATTTTCATTATTTAATGTTAACTGAAAAAATGTTAATATTGTTTTTACACATGGCTGCCATTCTTTTAGTCATTTCTGCACCTAGAGATGAATAGTCCTACATCTGAAGCACACTGACAGTTGTAATATACATAGCACTCTAGGTCAAGAGTTTATTGATAAATTGAACTTTTTAACATGGTCATGATTTTCAGCTGCCTAGACATCAAGTAAACACCATTCAATACACTAAAAAAAACTGTTCTGGGCACTTCTTCCCATGTCTCCCAATATAACCTCACCCCTTTTCAAAAATTGAAAACTCTATGAGTGTCTTTTTCAGATAAGGCAGACTTTAATAACTTTCTATTTCTATACTAAATATCTGGCATTTAAGATTTTTATAAAATACATTGTGTTGGACACTGGAATAATACTATTTATTTTCACCTGTGAAAGATGAATTCATTGTACTTGAAACACCTCCTCTGCATTTCTCCATTTTTGTGCCATTCACTAGTGGAAATAAATTGTATTATACCATGATCTACTGGCTTTTTAAAACTGTGTTAAATATGCACATTTTTGGTATAGCTATTATCATTTGTATGTATATATTGTATATACATATGAGTGTCTATATTTGTGTATAGATAGATAGATGGGTGTAACTCATACTGTACATTTCCATCAGGGCACTTAAGGTTCTGTTATTTTTGTTTGGTTTTGTTTCAATCCTCAGTTAAGGCAAGATTGCCTATTTCTTAAGAATGAGTACTCTGTTGATATTTATGAGAAGGTGGTCATTAGATGCAATTTTTTTCCTTTTTAATTTCTTCGTAGCACTTGTGTGAGTGGAGAGAAAGTCAAGTAAAATATGGAACCACAAGTTGCGGTGCAGTAAAATAGTGGGGAAGGAACCCAGTTAGTGTTTCTGTGAGTTTGTGTTGTGATGCAATGAAAGAAAAGCGAGGCAGAGAAAAGAGAACCGTGGAAAATAAGAACACTGTGGTGATTCCTCTGAAATTCACACAATCTTACGTACTTTCTACACGTATTTCTTAGTAATGACACCATTGATTCTTACTCTATTAACTCCATTAATACTAACAGTTAAATGTCTTGCTGAGGATTAAAACAGCCAAGAAGGGAATCACTGCTAAAGTATCTAAGGTTCTCCTAAACTATAAAATCAACAGGAAATGGCCACTGGGAGAGAAGGGTATAACATTGACATGAAAGGCTTTCTCCCTTCAGCTGCCTCTTCTTGCTTGCTAATAGTAAATTCTTTGTGCACCTTCTACCCCTTCTGAGCCACTACTATTCAAGCAGAGATTTGGCCCAACACAGCAACCCTTTCCTTGGAGGTTTATTTAGTCCTGCATTTTATCCCATATTCACAATGTGAAATGTCTTAATGTGTATCCAAGTCAGAAAGTAATATATTTAAAGGTGTGTGTGAACCTCCTTAGATGATAGAAGAAGAGGTTCTCATTTCTTATGTAGAAAAGAGCCTTCTCTAACTGTCATCTTTGAGCTGCTGGCCAAAATATAGATCATTATTGGAAAGAACCAAAACTCTGTTTTCTTTTACCCCATCTGACATGCTAGTCCCCCCAACCAGGTTGTAGCATTGCCTTTTAAAAGGCCCTCACTCATTCTTAGATCAACTGGAAATTTCCAATCCTCAGATTTCTTAAAGGATGAAGAGTTTGCTGGACACTTAGCAAACTTGCCTCTTGTATGCAAGGACTACTGATTGAAGTCTGTTTTGCTGTGTCTGGTGATGTTGTCTGCACTTTGATGAAATCACTACACTAGATCTACATTGGAAATGAATGACTCTTTGTAAAGAAGTTTTATTAAACACTGTCTAGAAAAAGAAAGTGAAGCTGAGAACTCTTATTGTGCATTTATATGTTCTACTGAATTCTAGTAGCCCCATTTAAAGTTATGCTGACTAATTTTTTTCTTCTTTGTTTATATTCACATTTCCAAAACTCCACTCATACAAGGAAGGAGAACCCTTTTGCCCTACTGGTAGTTCTCATAGCATAGGACATGTATAAGTTAGTATGCACCTTATCTGCCTGTTGTGGGTTTCATAAACTTGCACTTCTCACCCACCCAAAGATAGATATCCTTTAAAGAAAATAAAGGCAGAGAATTAAAACTGAGGAGCCATTTACTATGTCATCATTACTGTTAACTGTTTCCCAGCCATCCCAACTTTCTGAAGTTTCAGACATTGTTTTTGTGTATGTGTTTGTATTTTTTCCTTGTTTTAATTAGATTTGACTTAAATATACAAGGGTTTCTTCTTTAAATGGAGGGAAAGGTTAGTCCTCTGAAAGCGCAGGATGCCCACTGGATATACTGATCTGAGCATCCATAGGTAGTTTGCCATGAAAAAGTAGACTGAAGGTGAGACTTCTGAATGAATGAAAAAGGGCATCTTGATGCCCAAGAATTTCCCCCTCCCCCCAAAGTACGGGTAATTCAACCTGCACAGTTTCCTTTCACTTATAGTTCTGAGCAATTATGAGTGAAAAATCATGTAATTATCTGTAAATATGTAGCCAACAAATTGACCTAGTTTCTGTTTGTTTGGTTGGTTGGTTTTGGTTTTTGGTTTTTGGGTTTGTACTAAAGTTGATAGGTCTGTGCCAGCTAGAGAGGAGTTGCTGTCATTGCCAGTTGTGGTCCTAGCATCTAACCCTGAAACCATTCTAGGTGACATTTTTAGAAGTAATGCTTAAATGTTGTAAAATGGGGAAATGAAGCTTAATCATTGGTCAGGTTTGAAATCTTTTGAAGTGAAATAATTTAATATGATGATTACATGTCCTCAATAATGAATGAGGTAGGGAGCCTCCATCCCCCCAGTGGCCATGTTTACAGAAGTGTGTTTTGTCTATGAAGTGCAAGTGTTTTAATGTATATGTAAATTATACAGGTGATAACATTATGGTTTGGAACTGTTGGGCTCTTTGAATTTTCAAATGAAATGAACTATGCTTATTGCTGGCACATTTATCCCATTTCTGGAACATTTTTCTTATTTCCAGAATTACATGTGTTCCTTTGTCATTATCCCTGCTTAATCTCCCTTTCTCTGATACTCCTTGTAGCGAAGGTATTAAAGACTGGTGAACATAGACGAGGGAAGTACCTTTCTTAGAAATCCATGAACTCTCAATTGTATGCTTTCAGTACTCTTATTATATGTTTCTATGGCAACTCTGAGGTCAGTGGTTGAGAAATGAGATACCAATGTTAATGAAAAGTGTGTACTCTTAGCTTTTGCATGGCTCGGCTTAGTAACCAAGGTATATTAGGGCCACTTGAAAGCATGAAGACCAGTTATAGGGGAACAGGTTTTTCTCAGTGGCACATTTTGCTTTTTCTGAGCCTTCATTGCCTAGGCATGAATGTTATTGTTCCTATAAATTGCACATGGTCATGGAGTGAATTATGTGGTTAAAAGGATGTAACTGCCTAACATTCGCAGATTCTGGCTGGTCTCTGTGACCATTTGGCACATATCAAAAAGCCTAAGGGGTGTCGAGACCCTTCTAACCCTTTTTTTAAATTTTTTTTGTCATAGACAAGTATATTTAGTTCATCTAGATGTTGACTGTCCTTGGTGTATTGCCAGGCAGCTCATTTGGTGCCCATTCCAATGTACTGTTGTCCTTCTCTGCATTTCGTAATATCAAAGAAACCACCATCCCCTTTTTCTAACAGCATTTTATGCCTTTTATTCCAAACTAATTGGAAATTGTGCCTATTAACAGTGTCCCTTCAATTAATTATACATGTCCCAAAATTTATCTAAGCCAGAGATAGAAGGTGGGAAAACATTTCAAAGAAAAAACAAAAGTCCACTCGAGGCCAGTAATTCATCGGACAAGGTATTGTACCACAGTATCTTGACACTTGACATATGAAGCCTAACAGGAGTTGCAGGTGGTTTCATAGGGTAAAAGTCAAGTGAAGAGGGACATGTGGGGTTTCTATTAGGAGATAATTTTATTCTTATTTTACTTTTCCTTTTATGATCCTGCTAGGTTAGAACAGGTTAATTCTCCAAATTTTATTTTGTTTTGTAGGGAAATTTTTTTTAAAGCAATGGTCTGATGTAAATAACATTTTAAAGTATAGTGCACATAACTTCCCCAGACTGTTCCAACCTGATAATTTGTAAATGCTTTAGAGTTTTTTAAATTAACACTTGTGTTGCTAAATCCTATTTATATAAGTCTGCTAAAGTTTTTAACCCACTTAAAACTTAAGACAAACATTTAAATAATGGTTGGGTTACTATGAGCAATTTAGCTTTCAGTACCCCCTCGTTTTTAGTATATGAAAAAGCCTAACGCGTATTAATGAGGTTGGAGAGATATGAGAAATATGTATAGTGTATATTTTAAAACAGCTTTGCTTGTATTGTGAAGATTTAAAAACAAACTTGAGATTTTTAACGTTAACTATTAACACAGTTTTAACGTAAGTTATCCCACTGGGTTTAAGAGCATCTTGAATGTATAATCCTTTTTGTAACCCAGGTTGGTTTCTGCTTTTACCAGTCATCCAAACATATTTATGTTTTTAGTTTTATGTACTCATTTCCCTTTGTTTTCCTCAAACAGCATGATTTTTTTTTGCACATGTAGAAATTTTTAAAAAATGAATACATCATTTTCTCTGGATTTTCTTCACTTCTCTCTTCCTTTCTACTAACCCCTTCCTTAAAGGCCATATCACTCCATTTGCATTATTTGTGCAAATGCCAGGGTTGGTTTTTATTTTTATTTTTGCTATTTACCTTTAAAAAAGAAATGCTTCAGTCAATTGCTTTTTTTATTTAAAAAGAAAAAAAAAGAAAAAAAGTAAAGAAAAAAAGCTGTAACCTTATCATTTCTGAGTAGACCATTGAGAGACGAATGCACACCTGTAATAGCCCAGGACCAGCTTTGGTGGCTAAAGGGAATATTTTAACTAAGCAAGAGGTTTTTTTCTAAAAGTGGTATGTATAGTCTGTAATCTATTTCAGTTATTCCCACAAGTCAGGGGTCCAGATAAAATGAGGGTTATCAGCTAACTGATATGTTATCATTGAGGTTCATCAATGAATTTGTACATTTCTAGTTCCCTTTGGTGAAGGGAAAAATGATGATTTTGCAAGACCTAGATTTTGGCTTGGTTTCTTGCCTCCTTTTTTGGCAGCCTTCATCTTCTCATCTCCTAAAGCCCTTGAGCCTGTAGGGTTTTCATAGTGGACAAAGGACTTGTGATCATTTAAAACTGAGACTGATTTTGTGGTGGGAGATTATCATGTTCCAACTGTGATGTTCTACCACTTTACTGATAATTAATTTTAAATCTACAGTCCTTTCAATTTTGGACCAAACGGACGCCCAACAGTGGAGGCTTATCAGGGGTTGCAGTGGGGAAGAGGCCTCTCCCTCCCTGTCAGCACCAGCTGGTAAAGGTGACTGTACAGATGTGCATTTTCCTTTGGTAGAAATGGTCCACAGCACTAACTGGTAAGGCTTATTGTACAGTATATTGTCAGTATTCTTCTGGTTCAGCATACCTTATAGTTCCTATATAACCTGTATTAATTGTATAGATTGTGCATTTAAAGCTGTTACCAAGTTGTCAGAACATAAGAGCGAAAACAAGGTCATATGTAATATTTTGTTTGTAAGTATCCTTTGTATCATAGCAAAGGAAATGTTTAAAAAGATCAACTGTAATAAAGTAATTTTAGTACACAGAGTGTCTGCTCAGTTTTTTAAAGTGTGTTCTGGGTGTGAGATGGTTCTACTTAAGGTTCTGCTTGATGCAGTTCCAAATTCTTATTTGGCACAGTGGATTAGTAACTGCAGCGCCTCCCACCCGGGACACAAATGTGGCAGTTCCCTTGGCAAAGGTTCAAACAGCGGGTTTATCACCCTTCTTTCAGAAATCATCACCTTTTAGGACCAGCAGATGACGTAATGGTTACATCGCTGTACTCCCATGTAGCCTACCATGGTTGAAGTCCCAGATCTAGCACCTTAAAACTCATGCTGGGGGACGAGCAGTTGGCATATGTCGCTGGACTCCCATGTAGTCGAACGTGGTTCGAGTCCCAGACCCAGTGGCTTAAACTCAC